CTGTCTCAAAAAATGCTAAAAAATTCATATGGGTACAGTGTTGCATGACCACGCAATTGTCATTCAAAGTGTGACAGTGCTGAAAGCTGAAAATTGGCCTGGACTGGAAGGGGGTAAAAATGTCCGGACTTGCAGTGGTTAAGCTGCCACAAATGTATAGAAGAATACGGTCACTAGGCTGTGCTGCTGAATAAATAGCTATAATCAGTGACTGAAATGCAAGATTCATAAGCAATATAATTTTATCTAAATTTGTATCGAAAATGTTGGTTTGATAAACATTTGGACATCATGGGATCTAGAAAAAACGTTGCACCATTGTTTTATTCTATTGGTCTTGTGCTTTCAAGATGTGTGGAATAGGGGGGGGGAGTATTTTACAAACTTTAAAAGCTATATGTGAAAAATTATTTAAAAAAAGTGAAAAATTGCAAAATTGGTTTGGCTATGTGAAGTGAAAAATGGAGAGAAGGGCCCAGCAGCAAAATGTTTAAAGGAAAACTCTTAAAACAGAAGTCACTTTAAATATTCAAAATAAATATTATGCTGTCCAATGTGTTACTTTTTTATTACTGTCTAGTTTTTAAATGAATAATATTGTTTTATGTAAAATTTCCATTAAGATTGTTTCCATATGAAAGAGAACACAACTTTTAATAAGGCTTAAAGCGATTCTAAAGATTCCTTTTTTTTGTGAAATAACAAAAAATGTCTATACTTACCTACTGTATGCAGTGGTTTTGCACCGAGCAGCCTGGATCCTCCTCTTCTTGGGTCCCCCGCAGGCTCTCCTGGCTCCTCCAGTCTGTCGGGTACTCCCACAGCAAGCAGTTTGCTATGGGGGCACCCACTGCTCCATGTGTCCATTCACATGGAGCCTTGGCTTGGCCATGCCCCTTCTCCCCCCTCATTGGCTGACTGGCTGCGATTGACAATAGCGGGAGCCAATGGCTCCTGCTTGCTGTCTCAGCCAATGAGGAGGCAGAGACCTGGGGCAGCCAAAGCTGTCATTCACATCACTGGATCGTGATGAGGCTCAGGTAAGTATTGAGGGGGCTGGGGGCACTGCTGCACACAGAAGGTTGTTTACCTTCATGCATAGAATGCATGAAGGTAAAAAACCTTCAGCCTTTACAACCAGTTTAAGAGGTGACATAAAAGATGTTAATGTTCCACCCTAAAGATGGGAAACTTGTCCCAAAGGTGAACTTATCCTTTAACGTATTGTGCCAAATTCATGAAGTATTTGCAACACATTTTGTTCTGACAGCTACTTGAGCACCAAATAAAATAATTCTAAAATGTGCCACTTTCACATTGTCTTTAATCTCATTAAATGCTCCACTTGTACATTGTGTCGAATTGAATGCTCCAAATATAAAAGTGGAGCTAATTAGGATCAACTCACTTTTGGCATACAGGGAGAAAAACTGTCTCATACAGATTTTGCGAAAGTGTTTTCTGAGCATTCTAAAAGTGGCATAGCATGAACCAAATTCAAATGCAAGTTCTAGACAGGTAGATGAATTTGGCACATTCTTCACCACTTTTAGAATGCATCAAGAGACACTTTCCGCTATATTCTATATTATATGTTCACTGAAAATTATTATTTTTTGCTTACATAGCATTACAATTTTTTTACCTGGAAAATGGAGATCTATTCAGAAAACTTGATCTTTCCACTTATATTCTTACTATTTTGTTGTGTTTTAGGATACAAAGACCTCATAAAGTACAAGTGCAATGTTTCAGTAGACCAGGAAACAAGTGCTGGTGCTTATCAGGCTACTTGTTTTTATGTAAGTATATTATTTTTTTTTAATCTGTGCCTTCTTTACAAAATTGTCTTGAAAGTTTGCTATTATTTGCATTATTATCATCGTTATTTTTATTAATGAATTCTCAAATCTCTAAAAGTTGTGTGTGTGTATGTATTTATGTGCTCAGGGTCATTGGTCATTTTTTTCATGGAGAGTAGATATTCAGCTCTCTCAAATTATAAGAGTTGACTCAGCTAACTTCCTAAGGTTTCGAAGATATATACCAGCTATATACCTTCTGAACTAATTTTGTACATATTGATTTTTTTCTATAAGGATTCAAATAACTAAGGCTGTTTTCCCCTACATATTTGTTGTTTTTGAAAATAATGCTGTCCTATATTTAGTTTTGAATCCTGACTTTCTGCTGTCTCTTGGTATTATACATTTTGTGAAATCAGAATTGCCCACTTTGTCCATTTCTTTAGAAAAAATAAAGTTTTAACTCTTTGTAAAGCTCTTACCGTTTTTCCAGGTAAGAGAAATATTTCTATAAAAGATGTAATACTAACATCATTCTTTGTACACTGGGGTCCTGGCTTGCTGTTCTGATTTGGCATAAACCTTGAGGGAATGATGTCTATTTCTTTCTTGGTAAAATGGAACCCAGATTGCTGCTTTTTCTTGGCATGAGACACAGTGAGCTCTGTTGGAAAAACATAAGGAGTTTTATTTGTGTAGGTACCCTGCCCTGGAGTGTACCTAGCTAAATTATGTGTTTGCTTTTCCAAATAGACTGTAGCCAGCCTAAGCTTTTAATTCACTTTTTCTATGCTCTGTAGGTTTTTCCTAACTTCAGTGCATTGATTGCTTCTGCCTGTTACTGTTGAGGCATTTCAAGTAGTCAATAGAATAAAATAGTAGAAACAATATCTGAATATTTATTTACCTCAACTAATCACTGGCGATTTTTTCTATGGTATGAGCTAAGGGAAGGTAATAAGGGTTTAGAGCAACCTTTCAGAGTGTTATGTTCTCCTATATGGGCTCTGTCCAATCTGAGCCAGTGTGTAATCCTGTGCGGGATTCCAGTTGCCCTGCTGAAAGGACTATCCAGAGGGAGCTGAGCATGAAGTTGGCACCCTGGATAGAACATATTTAAATGAATCTTCTGTGCTGAAGGGTGTCTAGGGAAAGCTGAGTGTAGGCTACTGCTGCTTAGCTTTGTGAGAAGGATTTACTGCTCAAAAATTAAGGTACCCATGACCGCTATCAAATGGTCAAGGGCCTAAAGTAAGAGAAAGATCCATTGCAACTTAGGACAAAGACTATGACTGTTCCTACAGTTTCATAGGTCTAAACTATGGTTGCTATTAGAGAGTCATTTATTTAATTTGGCTGCTGTTACCTTTCAATGTCACAGACTTCCATGACAGCACCAACACGTAAAAAGACCAGGCTGCTGTAGCAGCTGTAAGTTTGTTTACATTTTTACACTGAACTGTTAGTATTCTTCTTGAAGCTATTCAGGTAACTGAGCTCCTGGTCTTCCCCCCAGCCCGCGCCCCCCCCCCATCCTCTCCATCACGACTAACAACGCCACCATCAATCCCACCCCACACGCCAAAGTCCTGTGTGCCACCCTGGACTCAAACCTTTCCTACCAACCTCATGTCCAATCACTATCAAAGTCATGCAGGTTCCACCTCCGCAACATCTCCAAAATACGTACATTCCTTACCCCAGACACTACTAAACAACTCGTATACTCCCTCATTATCTCATGCCTGGACTACTGCAACTCCCTTCTCACTGGCCTACCCAAACAAACGCTATCCCCACTCCAGTTTATCCTGAACTCAGCGGCTAGACTCATCCACCTCACCAACTGCTCCACATCTGCCACCCCCCTATGCCAATCCCTTCACTGGCTCCCGATTGCCCAGCACATGAAATTCAAATTACTAACTCTGACCTACAAAGCCATTCACAACGCCGCCCCAAACTACCTAACTGACCTGATACCCAAATACCACCCTACCCATGCCCTACACTCCTCACAGGACCTCCTACTCTCTAGCTCCCTGGTCTCCTCCTCCCCACGTCCGACTGCAGGACTTCTCCAGGACTCCCCCATCCTCTGGAACTCCCTACCCCAATCCATCAGACTGTTACCTACCCTACTCACCTTCAGGCGCACCCTGAAAACCCATCTCTTCAGGGAAGCCTACCCCACCCTCACCTAACAACCGATCTCCTCCACTCCTCCCACCACTCCATCCCCCACAGCCACTTCCTTCTGTACCACTATCGCCTCCCTCCTACATTGTAAGCTCGAAAGAGCAGGGCCCTCGAACCCCTCGTGTATTGTATTGTTACTGTATTGTCTCATGTTCTGTCCCCCTCGCTATTATACAGCGCTAAGTAAACCCTTTGGCGCTATATAAATACTGTATAATAATAATAACAGTGTGCATTAAAATTCTTTTGAATGTATTTTGTACTGAAAGTATAGATTTGATAAACATTAGCACAAAAATTGTGTGAAATGCACAATTGCAACAGCCACCATTTTCCTCACAGCACCTCTGCTTTAAGAAAATGTTTTGTATTTTTGATATATGTAAGCCACAAATGCACAAACAGGCACAATTAGAGCACTGGCCAGTCCTGTGGAGATAAATGAAGAAAAAGCATAAGAGATGATTCTGCAGACAGAGGTTTAGCAAGTGGCTGAGATGCAGCTGAAAAAATGTAGCAGGTAGCACAAATACAAGGTGCCTTTTGCAGGGAATTCCTCTGATTTACCACTTCAATACTGGATACTTTCACAAAGCCAAGAATGACTCAAACTAAGTACAAATTACTTATAAGTGGCAAGGACACCAAGGATCCAATCCAACTGTACCAAAAATAAAAACAACTTTACTATCTGTGCTTAGTCAAAACATAAAATAGTGCAGTGCTATCTGAGATATATCAAGTACACGAATTTACATCCAAAGTGACAATAAATATTCACGTGTAATAAAATAAAACATGCATAAAAAGTGCATAAATCAGTGTAGACCCCCACAAATTTTAGGAGAAACACTTAAGTGTCCTCACACACCATGCAATAACCAAAAGTGAATAATAAATACACTGTATTGCCAAAAGTATTGGGACACCCTTCCAAAAAATTGGATTCAGGTGTTCTGATCACCTTCCTGGCCACAGGTGTATAAAATCAAGCACCTAGGTATGCAGACTACTTCTACAAACATTTGTGAAAGAATGGGTCACTCTCAGGAGCTGAGTGAATTCAAGCGTGGTATCATGATAGGTTGCAATAAGTCCTGTGCAATAAGTCCATCCATGAAATTTCTTTGCTACTAAATATTTCACGGTCAACTGTTAGTGGTAATATAACAAAGTGGAAGCAACTGGGAACATCAGCAACTCAGCCACTCAGCCACAAAGTGGTAGGCTACGTAAAATGGCAGACTGGGGTCAGCACATGCAGAAGCCGACTGTCCCGACTGTCTGCAGAGTCAATAGCTAAAGACCTTCAAACTTCATGTGGCCTTCAGATTAGCACAACAACAGTGCGTAGAAAGCTTCATGGAATGGGTTTCCATGGGTGAGCAGCTGCATCCAAATCTTACATCACCAAGTGCAATGCAAAGCATCAGATGCAGTGGCGTAAAGCACGCCACCACTGGACTCTAGAACAGTGAAGATGTGTTCTCTGGAGTTATGAATCATGTTTCTCTGTCTGGCAATCTGATGACCTTGTCTGGGTTTTGTAGTTCCCAGGAGAACGGTACTTGCCTGACTACATTGTGCCAAGTATAAAGTTTGGAGGAGGGGGTTTATGGTGTGATGTTGGGCTTGGTCCCTTAGTTCCAGTGAAGGGAACTCTTAAGGCGTCAGCATACCACGACATTTTTGACAATTTCATGCTCTCAATTTTGTGGGAACAATTTGGGTGTGGCCCCTTCCTGTTCTACTATGACTGCACACCAGTGAACAAAGCAATGTCCATAAAAACATGGATGAGCGAGTTTTGGGTGGCAGAAGTTGACTGTCCTGACCTCAACCCAATAGAACATCTCTAGGATGCATTAGAGCAGAGACTGCAAGCCAGACCTTCTTGTCTGAGTTGAAAAAGAATTGAAGCTATTAAAGCTGCAAAGGGTGGGACAAATCAATAATGAACCCTACGGGCTAAGACTGGGATGCCATTAATGTTCATGTGAGTGTAAACGCAGGCATCCCAATACTTTTGGCAATATAGTGTAAGTTCAAAGTAAAACATATACTGTAGTACATTGTGTCAGAATCTTCTGTGATAATATAGGTGATGACCCTGACTTCCCCCAATGTTATATGGGTCTTTTCACCCCAGTAGTGGACCTCAAAGCTTCCTAAGAGATCAAACAGCCTAATCCATGTATTGGTGCACAATTCAGATTATAAAATAGAAAGAAAGACTAATAGTGCTCTCCGTGTTCAATTTATCAAAAAAAAGGGTTAAAAACACGAACTCACATAAAAGATATATAAAAATCACATATAAATCAAAGATACTCCTGCTCAACACCAGTTACCAGATATAAAACGTGATGGCAGCATTGGAAGGTTCCACTCTCCTATATGCATTACGCCCCCAACAGGGCTTCTTCAGTAGGTAGCGAGCCTTCTGGGCCACTATTATATACATATGTGAATTAACAACAAACACTACAATTTCCTATTTTAAAATAGCACTCCCTGTCTCTCAACCTGGAACCAGGAGTGATGTTCTTGGTAACCCAAAACAGCAAGTGACAACATACATACATCTTTTCAAGTCTGTACAAACAACACCATATTGATGAAACCATCAAGAGGAGGGGTTTGCAATCAAATGATTAAACAGAAGTGGCACAAAAACATCACTTCCGGACTTGAGACATATTGGTAACCAAGGAAATATATAAACAAAACATAAAACTTTTAAAATACATTGCTAAGTAAAAAATACAAGAAATAAGAACCTACAGAGAGCTGCAAACCACACTATTACTTATGTAAGTACAGGTAAAACACTAATATAGCATCTCCTTGGTGGAACTGATCACAAATATTTTAAAAACATAAAATATAAATAACATGAAAATATTTACAAATATATTATTAATAATCACATCAGTATTAAAAGAAAAAACAGTAATAATAGGCCTAATGGGATAATTGCAGTCCAACTAAAAAACAAAGCAGAAATTCTAAGCATCACTAATAAAACAATTTAGAGCTAAATTGATGTTCAATCCAGAGGGGGCTAACACTTTTGTCTCATACATGCAGAATGATTCTCTCCTACTGAGAAATATGATAAAATTAGCCCCCCCCCCAAAAAAAAAAAATTTTTGTTGACTTTTTTGATTCCCCCAAAATGTTAGCCCACTAGGATGTCTATTCGGAAACACACAATGCTTTTTATACCCATTCCTGTTATTGCAAACATGCTCTCTTATGCATACCTCCGAAGCTTTGGATGTTCAACCACCGTATTGGAGGCTGCATGGACATTCAAGCACATATATTACACCCTCCTTTTTTACAACAAATAAAATGACAAATTTTGTAATTGACATGAGTAACTGATGCAGTTAATTATTTCTTTTGCTTTAAGTTCCCTTTTGTAGCAGAGCAAGCCTTGCATCTACCGTGAGTATAGAAGCCTACACCAGAGAAAAAAGTAAAATTCCTTGTGGGGAGTGGGTTCACCACTCCTTTTATTAGACAGTGCCATAAATTCGGTGCTTTCTTATAGACAAATCTTGGACAATCTGGTAACACAGGTCCTAGAATTATATCTTTCTTTAGAATTCTCCGGTGTTTATTGATAATCCCTCCAACCTTCTTATATTGTTTGTTAAAATTAGGTACAATATAGAAATCTTGACCTCTACCACCTCTGCTATTCGGCTGTTTACCTCTCACCAATAAATTCCTGTCTAAGTCTCTCACTTTTGCAACTTTGTTGCTCACCATCTCTGATTGTTGCATATACTTATCAATATTAGTACAAATATGTCTCAATCTGATAAATTGGCCCCTGTGTTGGTGGCAACTATCCATAGCAATTATTGCGTTCAGTGGATTTAAAATGTGTCTTGGTAGAAAACGTTCCATTCTTCAAATTAATCACTAAGTCAAGAAATTTGATGTTGGCCTTTTTTTTCAGGTAAATATTTCTATAAAAGATGTAATACTAACATCATCACCAGATCAGGAACATATCATCTATATAGATTCTCTAACACTTTAATTGATGTGACCTGTCCCTAAATGCACAGATTTTTAATCAGCGATTATACTTACAAAGGGAGACATAGACAGGCATTTACACCAAAAACATGGCGCCACCACTGAGCCTCCGGCGTACACAATTTTGTCATAGGTAAGCTCTGGTGGGAAAACCTATGCAACCTGCGATAGTGGGTCTTAGAGTTATACCAGCATGGTGATGTAATTGATGGTCTACTGAAATTTATGTGAAGTTGCTGGAGCCATTATATCAGACCAGCTAGTGGCTACTAGAGATGGATCCTTGGTGTGAGATTGCCCCCAGGTTGTTGCTGTTTACTATTTGAATCTCTTCATGCTAGATGGACCTCCTATAACTTAGAGGTCTGATCATTCTAGTAGGGAGTGCCTCTACAGGTGGTGGGACACTTCACAAGATTTTCCTGGTGGAATTTATCATCATGGTCATCACAAGTTAATGAACTTTGGATTTTTTTTATAATTAATTTTATTTTAATTCTTAATCCTATTTTTAATTTTATTGTTCTTCTTAATCCTATTTTTTTTATATAAATTGCACTTTATCTTTATTTTGCATGATAATTTATTGCACTATATAAGCACAGTAAGCACATGGTATGAACTTTGGTGATGAATTAGGCAAATATTGTATGTATTTTTGCATTTAAAGAGACAATACACTGTTGGCACTTAGCACTTTCTCTTGCTAAGTTTGGAAGTTGCATGTATTTGATGAATTAACCAAAAATATATTGATTTATTGATGTATTTTTGATTTTTATGCACTTTATGATTGAAAGAGATAGCGATAGCATACGCTCACTTTCAGTCCAACTGTGCAAGGAACGCTTGTCCTGACAGGCCACTAGCTCCAGAATGTGAGCAGGAAGAACTGTCAGATGTGAATGGAGAGATTGGATGACAGCAGTGCTGGAAATTGTTTTTCAAACTGTGCACCAAGGGTCCAAACCTGAGAGTTAAATGTTAGCTTGCCACACCAGATTGAAGAACAGAAATGCGAAGAGGTCTGTGCTCAAATCCAATAGTTATCCAATAGTTAACATCAGGGGTGGACTCTCCATCGGGTGCTCAGGCAGTGCCCGAGGGCCCAGGGTCAGTAGGGGGCCCCATGAGATGCCTCTGGTACCTTTCATAGACTTTTGTGGGTGTGGTTTGAGTGTGGGCATGAAAACAGGGGCCCCATGATCCCCTATTGCCCGGGGGCCCCATGAGTTGTCAGTCCACCCCTGGTTAACATACATATAACACATCAGGTGCTAATAAAGTGTGATCCCATGTTAACACTGACAATTCTGAATTACCCTTTTGCACATTGCAAATATCTAGCAAACTTCTACATAAAAACAGGGATTTGGTTTACATACAGTATATTGTAATACATGTTCAAGCTGACCAGTTGTGTAAGTAATCCCTCTATAGCCAGTAAATACTCTACTGTGCAAAATGGCAAAAACTTAAATTGTTTTTGCATACCTTAATGGACATATAGTGCAAATAGTTACCCAACAAAATCACAGATATGGTAATGTAGGAATTTGTGGTTTCTCTCTATTTGCAAAGTTTTTATTTAATGTTCCTATAATACAGACTAAATGTACAATTGCCAATACTGTTTCTTTTGAGTCAACTGTGTAACTGTTTCTTTTGAGTCAAGTTAATCCATGGTTTTCTTTCTAATTCCAGCTTTCAATATTTACAAAAGTCTTGGGCTTGAAAAATGAAACTTTTGTCTGGACTCCTTGTGATTCTTAGCTGGCTGCAGCTATCATCAGCTCAGGACACAGGTAACGTAAAACTCTGATGAACAATGGAATCACTGTTGAATAATTTTCTTGACTTCTCACACTGTTTTTTTTTTAATTTATGATTGCAGAAATTCCAAAATATGGAGATCTTATATTCCTATTGGATAGTTCAGACAATATGGGAGTGAAAATGTTCAACCAGCTAAAATCCTATATATCAAAAGTAATTAGTCAAATGCAAATAGGTGTGGATTTCTATCGCATTGGTCTGATACAGTATAATGAGGACATTGACACTGGTTTTTCTTTGTCAGAATTTAAAACAAAAAACCCAATGATAAATTATATAAAAAGTAAGTTTCTGTTTCAAGGTGGGTCATTAATGACTGGTAATGCCCTCATGAAGGTCCGTGAAATCTTTCTCTCAGACAAAAATGGAAGAGACATATCAAAGTATCCACAAGTTCTTCTTGTGATCACATCTGGATCCTCCAATGATGATGTAAATCCATCAATTTCTGCACTAAAACAGGATGGGATTCAAATTATTACACTTGGAGTAAAAGATGCCTCTTTAGATAAAATGCAAGCAATGGCAACATCTCCTCAACTTGCCTTTAAGATAGCCAATTTTAAAGACTTAAACACAAAGGATATGGTCACCACCATTCAAGAGGCAGTTGAAAAAACATATTATGTGGAAGGAACACAAGGTAAGATAATTAATTTTCAACTGTAGCTTATGGCATAGTGTACATGTCACTCTTTGCAAGG